GATAAGAAAAGGGATGTTAGGAATGAGTTTGAAGTTAGTATTAGCGTGGTTATGTTGTGTTATGGTGTGGCTTAGTGTGGTATTGGGTAGTAGTGATAGCAGTACTAACTCAGATGAAATGGAGTTAAAGCCAAGTGCCGAATTCCGGTCTCGTTTAGCTCAAACACCCTTAGAAGATAGTTCATGCGTAGAAGAGGATAATTTCCATTTATATGGCCTAGATAACTTCAATAGCGAAATCTCAGAACACCAAATACCCATTATAAGGGCAATAATAACTGCTTGTTTGGAGGTGTTGGGTATAAAAGTTCAACCTTTGGTAGGAAACCGGTTGATAGAATCTCGCAATCCAGATGGCTTTATAGGCTGGATTTTTGAGATAAATTCAATAGAGGATCGAACCCAAATGGTAGAAGACATGCAGGTAATGACACTAATAGACTATTTGGATGAATTGAAAGGAATACCAGGCGTACGTAAAGTCGCCACCATATATCGCCACCAGGCAATGAAAATAGGAACTAACAGTTTTCATATTCCCCCAACTTCCGGGCCAACTAGTACTAACCCAAATGAGGTATCGATAACCTACAAACAGTGTCTAGATGTCATAGAACCCCTGAAAAAGATCACCAGTCCGGAGCAGATAATGATTTTCGGAGAGACAACGGAAAATGAGATACTAGACCAACTTAAACTGTTATTGTATCTACTGCGGATTGCGGATAGTCCTATAATCAGAATAGACTGGATGGACGTGAGTAAAGTCTTATTTGATGCGAAATCAGTAGATAGGTTTAGGCCTTTACTGGAGGACATCCCCGCGAAGCTGAAAAAGAGAAAGCTTGTTATTAAGGTTGCTAATGCATGTAATCGTGTGTTTTGGGACGCCTTCCTTGATTTGCTCGGCGAAAAATACGATATTGAAGTGACGTTTGTGAAAGCTTATCCAGTGGTGCCGCCTAATGCCAACTCAACTTAATAAAAGTCTAGTTAGTATTATGATGGTTTGGTTTGGTATTGTGTTGAGTTAGTGACTATTGTCTTTGAAATTTAAGAGAATTTAGAGATAAGAAATAGGAGTTGGTATTGGTGTTGGTATTGGTGTTGGGTTATGTGTGCAGTGTTAAGGTGGGTTTAGTTGGGTTTAGTTGGGTTAGGCTTAATAAATTGGGTTTGAGTTTGGGTTTGGGTTAATGTGGTACTGAGGCGGCAGATGATCAAGATGATCAATAGGTAGTGCTGGGATTGCAAATTAAGTAGAGTTTGAGATAAGAAAAGGTATGATGATGAGGTTATGGCCGAAAAAGCTGTTCTGGCTTAAGTGGGTTGCTGTCTGGCTAGTTGTTGTTTTAATATGTTGGCTGCTTAAGACATACGGAGTGTACGATTGGGTTTATGCGCGCTTAATTCGCAAGCCAAGTGATGCTACTCCAGATAATCTGACTAAACCGACTAGAGTAGATCAAGACACCCAAACAGAGCCTATAACAACTCTGGATGACAAACAGAAGAAGGAAAGTAGAGAGAAGAAACAGCCAGGAGCCAAAATCAGTGAGAGTACAAGTTCTGCTGGCATAAATACTAACTTGTCTTTGGATTCTCAGTCCAACCCACCACCACAACTCCACCCAAGCCAAGCCAACTCTATACCAAGTAATGATGCTAATGCGAAGTCAAAAAGCCAAGAATCGGCAAGAAGTGCCAGTTCAACTGAAGTGGGTGTTAGTATTGGGTTAGAAGAGAGGCCAGAAGAACAAGTGCAGCACTTAGCACCTGTCCAAGAAGAAGATGAGGAAGAAGAAGTGAGTTCTCAACCATCAACCAATACTAAACTAACCCAAACCCAGCCACCCAACCCAACAACACCAGATGCTCCACTAGTTAAGT